TTAGTTAATAACTAATTTTCAATTTGTATATTGATATTTGTTAATATTAATAATATTTAAATTTTATTTATAATTAATAGTAATAAATAATAGTTAATGTTAATGAGAGTTATAATTGGAAAACAGTGATAATAAGCTACCAAAGCTGTAAAACTCAAAATTTTGAATATAGAAAAATAATATTGTACGAGTCTTTAAATATTTTTTTATAAATTTATTTGAAGTATTAAAATATTTATGTGATTAATTGAAAGAAATAATTGTAGAAATCTTAAAATAAGAAATAATGAAAAGCAGGCAAAAGGGAAAATAAAATAAATTTGGTTTTTATTTTATTGGACAAAAATGTAAATAAATAAGTGAAGAGGGGTCAAATCTGTCACTTAATTAAAGTATTAAGAGTTTAAATTTGTTTTGGACCAAAAATGTAAATTATCACGTTCGAAGGAGTTTGATTGTAAAATTTAGAAAGTTCAGGGGGTCAAACGTCATCTTTTTCAAAGATTAGGGACCTGTTTTGCCAACAATACATGTCTGTTTCAAAAAAATGACCTCACAGCCAAAAACTCGTCACTTGATCCGATTGTGTCAATTAATAAGTTAAAAACTCTTGCATATCAATGTAGAGCACTGACTTAGGATCAATTTTCATTCAAATAGTTTAGAAAATAAGCAAATATTGAGAGATAAATCTGAGTTTGAAGTTCGAGTTGAAAATCTCGATTTTTTACCCATTTTGGATGAGATTCTTAACTAAATCTCATGGTTTTTATGTCTACGACTTCGGATTTAAGTACTCTATCAAATCCTAGTAACCTCATGTCTCAGATTTGTGTTTACATGGTTCGATTCTTATGTTTTCAAGTTGTTGAGTTTTAGTTTTAAAAACAAAACTTTAAATGAGAAAGTGGAATTCATTTCTTGATGAAAATTTGTATATTTTATGTTAAAGTGTTGGTAAAAATATTACCAAGGGTTTGGTGCAAAAAGAATGAAGAAAAAAAGTCAAGAAAAGAGCTATTTTCAAGCTCGAAAGACATAAAAACGAGCAGTCATGGCTGCTGTTACGTTGGGTTATTGACCAGGTCAGTCGGGTCAATATCCGACCCAAAACCCACATGTTGACCCGCCTTTAAAAAAATGATTTTTCTGCTTAAGCCTAAATTCGAACCCGTGAGCTTTACACTTGCTGGCTAATGCCTCAATCGGTAGGCTAACCAAAAATTTTGTTAATCATTTTGCACCAAAATATTATTAAACATTAGATATTTAAATTTCTGAAATTAGCATTTAAACCCTTGGAGTTCCAAAAATATATTTTTCTTCATATAATTTTTTTGGAACTTTCATTAAGTTTTATTTGGATTGTAAAATTCAAACCTTGACCCAACTTCGATTATTTATCTTGTTTAGTTACCAAAATGACCCTATAAATCGAAATTTGGTAATTTAGCAATACTTCACATATTTGCTTTCTAAAATTTACCAAAATAACTCTATTTCTTGGGGATTGGTCTATAAGTTTCATTTTTATATTATTATCTTTATAAAATTATCAAAATGACTCTATATTTGGAAATTAGTATATTAGCGATACTTTACATATTTGCTCTATAAAATTGTTGAAATAACCATATGTCTTGGGTATTGTTCTATAAGCTTCATTTTTTTATATTATTATGTTTATAAAATTACCAAAATGGTCATATATTAGGAAATCGGTATTTTAGCAATACTTTACGTATTTGCTTTATAAAATTGAAGGAAGTATGGCCGCTTTACCAATAGTTGTAACCCAATCGGGAGATGTTTCGGCTTATATTCCTACTAATGTAATTTTGACCGAAACAACCCTATGTCTTGGGCAATGGTATATAAACTTCATTTTATATTATCTTTGTGAAATTACCAAAATGACCCTATAATTTGAAAATCGGTATTTTTAGCAATTATTTTACGTATATGTTTTATACAATTACTGAAATGACCCAATATCTTGGGAATTGGTATCTAGGCCTTATTTTGATTATTATCCTTATGAACATTCCAAAATGATCTCACAATTAAGGAATCAGTATTTTAACAATACTTTGAGTATTTGGCTTTATAAAATTACCAAAATGCCTCTATGCTTTAGGATTGGACTTTTAAGCATTGTTTTAGTATTCGACTTATGAAATGTACCACGAATATTCTAAATTAGGAAATTGGTTAAAGCTATACCTTTAGTATACTTCTTAAGATTACCGAAATGCCCTTAGACTTAGAAAATTGGTATCCTAAACATTATTTCATGTATTAATTATGTTAAACTTTAAAGTTATGGAATGACCGTCATTTATATGTATGTGACCTGTTCTAACCATTATTCATTTGTATATTAACGATTTTTTTATTGTTTTCATTAAATAATTAGCGTTTTCGTTTGAAACTGTCCATAATAATCATAACAGTTTCAAAATTAATGGCGAACACACACACACACACACATATATATATATATATATATATATATATTCCCGTACAAAATTAATCATAACAGTTTCAAAAGTCGTTTGCTTCCATTTTTTTGACGTTAATGTAAAATCACATGTGATTTTATATATTAAAGACATTTTTTTTCTTAAATAGTTATCGTTCTCGTTTGAACCTTCTTATATATATATATATATATACATAGAGAGAGAGAGAGAGATTGTAGACCAATTTTTTTTTTTTTGTGAACATGAATATCAATCTCGGTCATCCATCTTACTTAATTATAACAACTCATATTAAATACATTTTTTAATTAAAATTATTAATTAAGGTGATTAGGGATAAAAAAATAAAGTTAATTTAAACTCATCCCTACCTTCTTTTGACTTTTTATTTTCTTTTTTAATTAAAAATTTTTATCCCCTTAAAAATTAAAATAAATTA